TCGGGCCTGGGGTGTGACCCAGGACAACCCGTTTCAGGACACCGAGGCATAAAGAAGGTCTCCATCCAGAACATCACCTCCGAGGACCTGGCTGTATCCGAGACTGGGGGCTGGTGGGGGTGAGGGCAGCGGCCTCATCCTCCCACCTCTCCTTGACTTGGGGCCTCAGGTGGACTTCTCCGTTCTGAACCCCAACGGCCCCTTCGTCCTGCTGAACCCCATCAGCAAGCTGCCCGCGGGGCAGACGCACGTCCTGGTGCTGTCCTTCTCTCCCCGTGACAGCATGCTGGTGAGGCCCAGGCCCTCCCCGTGCCCCGTCTCTGCGCTGCCCCGCCCGCCTGCCCCGAGCCGACACGCGTGCGTGACGTCTGTAGGCCCAAGAGACCCTGGACGTCATCACAAAGAGAGGCACGCTGACCCTGACGCTCTCCGGCACCGGCGTGGCCTCCATGATCACGTGCTCCATCGAGGGGGACGTCCTGCACATGGGCTACGTGATCGCCAGGGAGTCCGTCTCCTCCACCTTCCAGGTGCAGCTTTGGGGCCTGGTGTCTGCCCTGGCCTTCGGGGGCGGGGCGGCTCCACCCTGGGGGGCCGCCGCCTCGATCGGAGCCAGTGCAGGTGCAAGGCTCACGCCCCAGCAGCCGCCACCTCTACCACCCGCCCCCCTCCAGCAGGGTCACGGCTGCCCTCCCTGCACCCTTGCCCCCCTCAGCTGCCCTGGCCTCAGGGTCTCCGCAGGGTGGGCCCCTCTGGATTGGGGAGCTCAGGCAGCCACTGCTCAGTGGGGAGCAGGGTCATCTGCAGGCACCCAGCACGTCAGCTGACACTGCCCTCCTCCATCCCAGGGGCACAGTGGCCTTGGGGGTCGAGTCTCCCGCAGGACGCCAGCTAGCTCGTCTGGCTGAGGTCAGGTCCTGCAGCAGAGCCCAGAAGGCCGACTCTGGGGAGTTTTTACTGAGGGAGCTGCTCTCAGGGGGGAGGGGTGGCCTGCTGGGGAGAAGCTGGGGAGATGGAGGCCACCGCGAGCTGCCCACCTTGAAGCAGAGCCACTCAGGCCGGATACAGGGGCCCGGGAGGGGGCAGCAGGTTCCGCCAGCCCCAGCCGCAGCCCTGGCCATGGTGGGCGGCCCACTGACGCCCGTGTCCACAGCTGCAGAACAGCTCCTCGCTGCCCATCAAGTTCTCCATGCAGCTGGACAGCCTCTCCAGCACCAGGCGCGAGGACCGGCAGCAGCTGCCGCAGTTTCTCACCTCTTCAGCCCAGAGGACAGATGTCGTGGGTGAGCTGGGGGGCGGGGGACACTGCGGGGAGGGTGCAAGGGTCTGGTGGGAGGGGTCACGGACCCGCCTGTCCTGGCCTGCAGGCACACAGAACCACAATGGCCAGAGCGTGTTCAGTGTGGCTCCGGTGGAGGGCGTCTTGGACCCTGGTGGGGCGCAGGACTTCACCGTGACTTTCAGCCCAGACCACGAGAGCCTGTACTTCTCTGACCTGCTGCAGGTCATCCTCTTCGAGAAGGTGCGCCTCAGGAGCCCAGGAGCCCAGCCTCGCCCCTCCTCCCTGGCATGTGGGCGGGGCTCCCTGGCCCCGCCCCTCTTGGGAGGCGGGCCCCCCCCACCCGCCCCGGCGCCCTGCCGCCCTGCCGCCCTGCCGTTGCCTGGGGCTTGGAGCTTATGGGAAATGGTTGGGGGAGAGGCTGGTGGCTGGGTGCCCCTCCCGGAGCCCAGCACAGGTCACATAATGAGGCCGCTGTGCCTGGGTCCCAGAAAGTCTCCCAGCAGATCCTCCTGAAGGGTGCGGCCCGTGAGCACATGATGTTCGTGGAGGGCGGAGACCCGCTGGACGTGCCTGTAGAGTCCTTGACCGGAATCCCCGCCGGCGACCTAGAGCGCAGAGAGGGTGAGCCTTCTGAGGGGCGATGCTGAACAGAACCGTCCTGAGGGCCAGCCCCACTCTGTCCCCGGCCCCCCCAGCAGTCCCCAGCCAGACCCTGCATCAGCAGAAGCTGAGGAGCCGAAGCCCATCCTGGTGACCCTGGACTACATCCAGCTGGACACAGACACACCAGCACCACCCGCCACACGCGAGCTGCTGGTGGGCTGCATCCGGACCACCCAGCTGTCCGCAAAGAAGGTGACCACAGCATTGCCCCAGCCCACCCAGCACCTGGGCCCCCAGCACCTCTGCCCCCCCGCCCCTGCCTGGACAGTTCCAGCCCACGTAGCCTTGCCGCTCCCAGGTGTGGGCCAGGAGGGCGCGTGGGGCTGTCACCCAGTGCCTCTGGGGCCCAGCCTGGCTCAGGTCACCAGCGGCTCCCATGCCCGCAGACCGTGGAGTTCAGCCTGGACAGCGTGGCGTCCCTGCAGCACAGGGGCTTCACCATCGAGCCCCCCAGGGGCGTCGTGGAGCGCGGCCAAACCAAGACCATCAGCATCTCCTGGGTGCCACCTGCGGACTTCGATGTAGGTGCTGCGGACCTTGCGGGGGGGGGGGGGTCCTGCAGAAGCCAAAGCCTGGGCGGCCACCCCTCTGCACTGCCCAGGGAGGGCCAGTGGGTCGGGCCCTGGCGGGTGGGTGGGGTGGGCAGTGCGGCAGCCAGACCCGGATCTGCCTGGTGAGCTGTCTGCTGGCTCAGCCTTTCCTCCTTCCTCCTGCCTCCCATTGCAGCCAGACCACCCGCTCCAGGTGTCTGCCCTGCTGCAGCTCAGGGGGGATGTGAAGGAGACCTACAAGGTCTTCTTTGTAGCTCAGGTGCTGACTGGCCCCTGAAGTCACAGGAGCCTCTCCACGGAGCCCCTGAGATCCTCTGGCTCCCCAGAAGCACTTCCAGGTGTGTGGGCCAGGCCAAGGCACTATGGGCTGGGACCTGGGCACCCACTGCCCGGCTGGTTCGATTTGGCAGCCCTCTGCATGACCACATGGCTGAGGCACCTGGCCCCCCCGCACGGCAGCCTCCTGCGGCACTGGACCTGATGAGCCCAGGGGCCAAGAGCTCCCCACCCTGCATCTGCTCCTGCCTGAGCCCCTCAGAGCCCCCAGCCCCACCAGCACCCGCCCAGTGTGGGCAAGAGCTGTCTGTCAATAAACACTCTGGATGCTCTGTGTGCTGGAGTGTGGTGTGGGCGACCACGAGTCATTTGTGGGTGCAGACAGAATAAGAGGTGGGAGTGCAGTCCTGGGGGGCATCCCCTCCCCACCCCAGAAAAATCAGTTCATAACACAGCGAGGTCTGCCTGGGAGCCTCTGAGGGGCCTCCCGCAGGGCAGTGCCTGCATCGTGTGTGTGTGGGGGGACAACAGGCAGGGCTGAAGAGGCCATCAGAGGGGAGAAGGGAAGGCGACTCCGACCCCAGGGGCCCTTAGCCTTCCCTGCTCCTCCCGAGTCCCAGGATCCCGAGCCACCCTCAGCCAGGGGTGAGCAAATGCTGGGACACACCCGACCAGGGCCCAGGCCGAGGCCAGCACATGTGTCCGGTTCCTCTTTCCTGAACTGGGCGCAAACTCGGCCTTCAGGCACAACTGGCCCTTCCAGATAGACGCCTCCCCCACCCCAGGACCATAGGAGGCTCCTGGGAGCTCACGATGGTGCCTGAACCCCAGCCCCTGCCTTCTGAGGGCTTGCTGGGTGGACACAGAGCCCACCCACCCCAGAACCCACCAGGACAGCACTTCAGTCTTGGCTGGGCACAGACTCCAGACACCAGCCTGCAGCCACCTGCTGTCCCCCACTTCCCCTTGCCCTTGGGGCCTGGAAGCCTGACCTTGAGCCTGTGACAGTGACCCTAGGGACACCTTTGGCAGGACTGGGTGGGCAGACCCAGGTTCCTTCCTACCCCTCACTGGGGTGGGCCAGAGTCCAAGCCACCTCTCCACCCGGTGGCGGCAAGCAGAGAAGCTGGGGTCTGGTGGGCCTCTGGGCCCCAGGAGCAGGTTCTCCCTGCGGCCTTTCCTCCCCCCTCCTCAGTGGGCAACCAGCAGTTTCTTCCAACCCCCCCTGGCCCCCTGCTCAGCCCCCTGGTACTGAGCTTGCTGCGCATCCTCCTCCCTCCTACTGCTGCACTGGGCCTGGAAGGTAGTAGAGGGCAGGCAGGAGGAGGGAGAGCCCAGCTGGAGGGCCCTGGGGGCGGCCTGGAAGCCTGGAGGTGAGGGACAGCTCTGGGATAGAGCTCCGACGGGGATCATGACTGTGAGTCAGGTGCCTGGCGGGACAGGCGGCAGGGAGCCCCGGAGAGAGGCAGGCCTGCTCTCCAGAGCATGGTCACTTCCCTTCCAGAGGCAGAGGTGCGTGCAGAGTGTGTGCTGGGTGCGACAAGAGCCAGGGCAGGGAGCTGCTCCCTACCCTCCTTGGACAAGGTGCTTACGGTGCTGACCACCTCCCTCAGCCTGATCCCCAGAGGGTGGGCGGAGGGGTGGGCAACTCCTGGCCCAGAAGCCACAGAGGCCACGGTCCCTAGGTTGAGCATGGCTTTCAAGGCATAAACAGTCCCAGAAAGTGGTCTGCAGGCCCGGACGCTGTGAGGGCCAGAGCCAGCCCCGGCCGGCCTGCGTGCACCTGCACACTTCCTGTGGTTGAACAGGGCTAGGGCTCCCCAGGCGCTCGCCTGCCGCAGCCCTTTACTTGGAGCACCGCGGTGTATGCCCAGTTTGGCCACGTGGGTCCTGGTAGACACCCGCCCCGGCCACGGCTTCCCAGCCGGACCGTAGGACCCCTGAGGGCTTTGCGCCTCGGCCGAGGGTGAGACCGCCCCCCAAACACCTAGGCCGTAGGATAGGCGAAGAGGAGGGAACCCGCAGCCAAGCAGGATTTCTAGGGGGCCGGCCCCGCGTGGGCGGTCCCTCAGGGCGCGGAGCTGGGGGTGCGGTCCCCAGACCAGGCCTCCGAGGGGCGGAGTCTGCGGTGTGGGGGGGGCCTGGAAAGTACGCGGCTCTCACTGGATGCCAACGTGGGGGCGGGGTCGCTCGGCCTGGGCGGGGCCTGTGCTGGGCGGGGCCATAAAGCCGCTGGGCGGCCTGGCGGGCGCTCCGGGTCCGCGCCCAGAATGTCCGCAGGGCCGTCGGCTGCCCGCCGGCTCCTGCCGCTGCTGCTGCCGCTCCTGCCGCTGCCGCCGGTAGGTCGCCGCGGGTTCGGCTTGGGTTCCGCGGGGCGGGTCTTCGCCAGGAGCGCCCTGCCCCAGCTCATCCCTGTCCCCACAGGTGACTCTGGGCTTCTCCGACCGCAGCTGCGAACCCTCGGACCAGTGAGTGGGAGGCGGGCGGCGGGGGAGGGAGCAGGGGCCTGGCCCCGCCCTTTGGGGCGGCGGGGCGGGGCGGCCGGCCGACAGAGCCCGCCCGCTTCAGGTGCTGCTGTCCCCGCAGGTGCCCGCCCCAGGCCCGCTGGAGCAGCCTGTGGCACGTGGGGTAAGTGGAGGCCGCGGCACGGAGACCGGTCCGGCGGTTCCTCAGGGGCCAAGCCCACCAGATCCCCACCCCGCCTGGCTCCATGGACGAGCTGTAGCCAGCGTTGTCCCTCTCTGTGCCGGCGGTAAGGCGCGGGCCCGCAGCAGCCTGGAAGGCTGAACCCAGCCTCCTGCCTCCTGCACTGGAAGCTGCCTTCCCGTGGGTCCTGCCTGAGCCCCTGGGCACACTTCCCTCCAGAGCCCGCCTGCCCACCTCCCACTCCCTCCTTCCTCCTGAGGGAGTCTCTGGTCTGGGCACAGGATTGTGCAGCCGGCCCAGGACAGTGTGTCCTGGGAGTGAGCCCAAGGCCACTTGTGGCCAACCCTGGAGAGACAGCCAGGGCCAGCACCAGGAGGCCAGCGCTGGCCAGCTCCTCAGGCCCGGCCGCAGCCAGGAAGGAGGTGTTTGCCTGGAGAGACACCCTCTGGTTTCCTTGTTTCCTGCCCGTTCTGCCCTGCATGGCCGGGCCATTGAGGATCGGGCCCCTAGTGGCTGGGGGCCATCCAGCCGTAGGGTCTTTCTCCACCTTGCCCAGGCTCATCCTGCTCGCCGTGCTGCTGCTGCTGCTGTGTGGGGTCACGGCCAGCTGTGTCCGGTTCTGCTGCCTCCGGAAGCGGGCCCATGCCCAACCACACCTACCGTCAAGGCCTCAGCCCTGTGACCTGACGTTCATCCCTGTGGACAGCGACAGCCCCGTGCACAGCACCGTGACCTGTGAGTGCCTGCGTACCTGGCCAGGCGGCCCACTGCTTTTGGGGGGCTGGGGGCTGGAGGGCCAGGCCCGTCCCCGCAAACACAGTCTGGTTTCTGGCAGCCTACAGCTCTGTGCAGTACCCACTGGGCATGCGGCTACCCCTGCCCTTCGGGGAGCTGGACCTCGACTCCATGAGCCCTCCTGCCTACAGCCTCTACGCCCTCGAACTACCTCCCTCCTACGATGAAGCCGTCAAGATGGGCAAACCCGGGCAGGGAGAGGCTCCCCCCTCAGTAGTCTAGCCCCCTTTCTGGGGCCTCAGGCCTGGAAAGTTCTCCAAGGCCTAGGTGCTGAGCCTCAAAGCCCAACACCACCAGCTGTGGCCCTGGCGCCCCTCCCAGGGGACAGGGAAGGTCTCCTGAGCTCCCAGTGCCACCGGCCATCTCATGCTCACAGGAGACCCCAGCCCACTCTCATCACCCTTCCCTGGGGAAGGCCAGACCTCCAGCACGTTGCCGCAGCCCTGGCCCTGTAGCCACGAGACGCCAGGCAGACAGACACACACACACAGGTTGCCACGTCTAGCCCCTGGCCTGCCCCAGCAGGCCCTCTGCCTGAAGGACGTCTCCAAGGTCTAAGCCTCCACAGATTTTTGGAGAGAATAAAATTTGTATCTAAATGGTCTCCGCCTGTAGGGAAGGTCCCCGGTGGGGTTGGGGGGGCTCTGAGGCAGCCGCCCGCAGTGCAGGCGGATGACGTGAGTGCTTGGCCTTGGCCTGTGCCCGGCCTCACCTCCGGACTGCTGTTGAGGGTGGGGTCAAGTGTCACAGCAGCAGTGACAGGCTGTGTGCTATGGGTGACTCTGGAAAACCCCCTCCCTTCTGCGGACCCACATCTTTGCGAGGCTGGAAACAGTGAGGCGCTCAGAAGTCTGGCGGGCATGTTTATTAGCCACATTGCTGGGGCAGGTGGGGCGGGGGGGTGGCGGAGCAGGGTGTGGTGGACCGGGCAGCAGTGGGCAGCGGCAGGCAGCGGGCAGTGGCTCTTCACTCGGGCAGGCTGCCCACAGCCAGAGCAGCTGCTCCTACTGGACCAGCTTGAAGGACTCTCCGGTCATCATGGCCACGAACTCTGGAAGCAGAGGGCCGGTCAGCAGCCCTGCCCAGCTGGGCTGCGGGCTCCCAGGGCCCGGCCCCGCTCACCCTCATAGTCGATGGTCCCATCCCCGTCCTTGTCTGCCTCCTTCATCATCTGCTCTGCTTCCACCTCATTGAGGGGCTCGCCTGCGTTCATGAGCACATACCTGCGGGACCCCCGGCCCCCACGGTGAGTGGTGCCCAGGGGCCCTTGCCCTTGCCCACCCCGCCCGCCCGGCCCTACTTGAGTGTGTCCCAGTCGATGTAGCCCTTGCCCTCCTTGTCGAAGACTCGGAAAGCTGCCCGCAGCTCGCCCTCCTGATTCTGGGCCTTCTCCCAGTAAATCCCCATCAGGGCCAGGAAGCTGTCACAGTTGAAGAAGCCTTTGTCTGCAGGAAGCAAGGGGCAGGATGTCCCACGTGAGGGGCCGGGCACAGCCCACACGCCGGGCCCCCCAGGCTCCCCGCTTGGGCTCACTGTCTCGGTCCACGTCCTTGGCCATGGAGGTCAGCTCGCTCTTGGTGGGGTTGATGCCCAACAGGCTCATGAGCCGCTCCAGCTCGGCCGTCTTCACCTCCCCGTTGCCCTCCTCGTCAAACATCTCGAAGACCCCCTTGTACTCCGTGATCTGCGCGGCCGTCAAGCGCTCCGTCTGTGGGGACGCGGGTCACGCCAGCCAGCCTCACGGGGCCCTCTGCCCCCTGTCCTGGGGAGGTTCGAGGCCCCAGGCGGGGCACGTGGCACAACACACCCTTCAGAGCTTGTGGTTTAAAAAGGAGGCCCCAGCCCGGGGCCAGCTCCAGGGCAAGGGCAACACGCGGTGGCGCCTGAGGGAGGAGCAGGGCTCTGCCAGGCAGCAGAAAGGGAAGGGCACTGGAGGCGGCCAGGCGGGGGGCGCCGGGTGCCCAGGGGCCAGGGCACAGGCCAGCCACTCATCGGGGCTGCACGGCAGGGGACCCGGCAGTGGACGCAAGGTGAGGCCAGGGGAGGGACACCTGGGACTGAGGGGAGGAGCTTGACCCAGGCCAGGCTGTAGGCTCCAGGGCAAGGGGCTTCCAGACCTGTCCTGACATCCCAGGGGGACAGTGCAGTACCTGGCACCCTCTGCCCACCACCACTGTGGCAGCTTTGGGAGAGGGCTGCTTAGCCTCAGCCCCAGACTCTGCTCTCACTGAACTTCTTCCTTGGGTTCCCGGAGAGACCCTTACAGCTTCAGGCCCAGCCACTCCTGTGCCTTGGGGCCCTGCCCGTCCTCTCTGCCCCAGGCGCCGCTCCCGCCCCTGCTCCACTGCCCAGCAGCCCACGGGGAACCTGCCGGGAGGCCTTACCATGTCTGTGGCTGGCTGAGGGGACAGAGCTGGCTGAGGACGGTGCACCGTGCTGCTAGAGCTGCCGTGGGTAGAGTGCAAGGGCAGGGATGGCAGCTGTGTTTTAGCTGGGCCTGGCTGCCTGGGGTCCCCGGGGTCCTGACTCCAAGAGCCTTTTATGGCCAGGAGAGTCTGCTGGCCCTATTTAGGGACAGGCCTGGCCCTTCACCATAGGGCTCCTTCCTGGCCCTCCTCGGCCTGGGCATCCCCTCGCTCAGAGCCCCCCTCAGACCCTGAGTCCCAGCCAAGGCCCCAGCCTCGTCCCTCCCAGGCCCACAGCAAGGATGGACACCTTGGGCTGAGGGCAGAAGAAGGGCTGTCCCCTCTCCGCGACATCACCCTCCTCCCTAGCTGCGGCAGGACCCTGACAGTGACTGCCATTGCTTATTTGTGAGGGCCCTTGTCGGACACCCCCCCGGTCAGGCGTCACCCTCATGTCTGTGTGGACCCAGCACCAGCTGGTGCCAGCACCTGGCAGACGCCCTAAGACAGGGGAGGGTGCCAATGCTCCTCCCGCCCCCAGTGAGTGTGGCTGGGGGGACAGACGCAGAACAGATGGGACCAGGGGGCCTGAACTGGCCACCAGGAGGCCAGGCCAGCTTTCCTCTGGACAGAGGGGGCTATTCTCAGGGAAACCTGACCTCCCTTCCACTCAGAACAGCAGAGCTGTCTCCTGAGGGATCTGGGAGCCGGGAGCGGGCTGTGTAGTGACAAGAATCCACAGCTGCACATACCTGCACATGTATGTGCAGCCCTCAGGCACAGGCACCCCCCTGAGGCTCCCAAAGCCTCTGTCCAGGTCAGCTGCTCTTCCCACCCCCTCCAGTTCCTGGGCCCAGGGAGAGTCACAGTCACCCCTCCCCTGCCACGTGTGGTCCCCAGAGGCCCCTGTGTGTGCACACACACCTGTCCTGGCCTGATGAGTCTGAGCAGGTGAGCCATGCCTTGTCCCCCCACCCTGCTGTGCTGGCTCAGCCTCTCGGGCATCTGAAGCCACAGGGACGCCAGCTGCTGAGACTGCAGGATTTCTGCTGACCGGGATGCGATGGCTCCAGCAGGTGCCAGGCCATCAGGAGGCCGAGCTGGAGGAAAAGCCTGCTCTGGGTCCCCTCTCTTCTGATGGTGAGAAGACTTTCCCACCTCCCCCACTTGAAAGTCCCAAGCTACAGGGGTCAGAAGTGCAACACCATTTCCATGAAACTCTTCACATCCAAAAGTCCAAACCACAACCTGCGGAGGAGACAGCAGAGGGGACTGGAGGTGCCGAAGGAAGGGGTAGGGAAGCCCGAGGGCCTCGGGGAAAGGGCGTGGGGGCCACTTCCCTCCATCCTGGCCAGGCTGTGGTGCCAGGGGTTTGCTGGGACGCCAGTCTAGACCATGCTGTGAAGGTTTTGTTTTTTCACATAGCCATTGAGTACAGTGGTGGAATTTGCATAAAATAGTCCTCTGCGAAAGGAACATTTACTGAACCTCAGTTATGTACCACAACCTTTTTGTTTGTCCTTTTTTAATACCTAGGACAGACACGCATCACATAGAATTTACCAGCCCAACCATTTCTGCAGACACAGCTCGAGGCAACCAGGCAGGTGCACAGCACTATGCAGCCCTCACCACAATGCCCTCCAGAACTTCTGGTCTTTGCGAACTGAATTCCATGTAACACTCACCCCACCCCCGCCCCGACCCCTGCACCCCCATCTACTCTCTGGCCCTGTGGATCTGAGGTCCTCCAGGGACCTCACATGGGTGGGGCCACACGTGTCCTTCTGTGTCTGGTCTGGTTTATTTCACGCAGCATGTCCTCAAGGTCCATCCACGTAGCATGTGTTAGAATTTCCTCCCTTTTTAAAGGCCAGATAATAACTCCATTGTGTGTTGTGTTAGGATTCCACAGAAAGACAAACAATTATATATAGATTTTATAGGGAATTGGCTCAGGTAACCGTGGAGTCCAAGAAATCCCAGGATCTGCCAGTTGCCAGCAGGAGACCGCGGGGGGGGGGGGCAGGGCAAGTGGTGGACTTCAGTCTGATAGCGAAGGCCTGAGAGCCAGGAGCACAGATGTCAGAGGGCAGGGCGGGACAGATGTCCCAGTCTGGCAAACAGACCTCGCAGTGCTTTTGTGGGCCCTCGAGCTCACCCGGTGCCGTCCACCCTCTTGTTTGCTCAGTTCGCAGATTCAAAGGCTTCTGGAGAAGCCCGCACATACATCCTGCCCCCTTCGGATCGTGGGGTCCCACCTTTTGCCCCGCTCGCGGCGCGGCCCGGGACCCGACCCGAAGCTAGGTCCCGCCCCAGCACCCGGTCCCGCCCTCTCTGGCTCGCTCAGCCTCGCTCCGGACCCTCGCTGGGCCCCGCCCCCGTCTCTCTGACACCTCGCTGGGCCAGGTCCTAGGCCCATCACTCCATCCTGCCCCAAACAGGGTTCCGCCTTCTCTCCATCTCTCAGCCCCGCCCCCGGCCCATCGCTAGGCCCCGCCCCCTTCTGTCATTCAGCCCTCCGTTTTGCAGGGCTCGTGGTCCGTCCCATCACCCAGCCCCATCCCGTCACCGGCCCTCGCGTAGTCCGCTCGACTCCGCCCCTCTAGGTCCCGCCCCCTTCCGTCTGTTAGTCCCGCCCCGTCACTCAACCCCAGCCCGGAAGCGGTGCGCTGGCTGGCAGTCCGCGCTTCCTCACCAGGCGGCGCTCGTGGGCCGCGCGGAGCCTTGCAAGTGCGGAGCGGGGAGGGGCCGGGGCTGGGGTAGCCGAGCGGGGCTGGGCGGGGCACCGGGCCGGCCGCAGTTCCGGGACCGCGGCGGTGGGGGTCGGCCCTAGGGAGGTCCGGTGGGGTAGGGTCTTCGTCCAGTAAACCTGCCTGGGCCGCGTTCGGCCCCTCGTTTGCCCTCTGAACCTGACCTGGGGTTCCCACCATCGCTTGGGACATAAGTAGGTGTAAACATCCCTTTCCTTGTCCTGTGAGACAGACGACAGTCTTCCCTGTCGGGTCCGCCGCGAGGCAGAGAGTGGGTCAGGGCGTGGACTGCGCATCTGCGGAGCCTTCACTGGACCGACAACCACGCCTGCAGACAAGTCCTCAGGCAGACCCGGTGCACAGCAGGGTGCCCCGGGGTAGCCCAACTGCAGGGGCCCTGGCCTGGGCGTCCTGAGGCTCCCTGAACTGCGACCTGCGCAGGGCCCTGGCGGGCTGCGCGTCCCCGGAGGCCCTCCTGCTCTGCGCAGGCCCCAGGACTCACAGCTGACCTTCCGCAGTTGTGGGTCCTCTGTCTCCTGCTCCTCCACCAGCGCTCAGGGGCGTTCATGTTCTGGTGGCTCTTCCTTGTCATCCCTGGTGGTGTTTGAATGCGATGACAGCAAGGTCATTTTGTCCAAAAGCGAAAATAAGTTTTAAGATTTTATTTACTTATTTTTATTTATTTTTAGGGAGAGGGGAAGGGAAGGATTAAGAGAGGGACTAAAACATCAATGAGAGAAACATCAGTAGGCTTCCTCTCACATGCACCCTGACCAGGGACCAGCCTGCAACGCTTACAGGTGCCCTGCCCAGAATCAAACTTGTGACCTTTTGCTTTGCAGTTTGATGCTCTAGCAACCAAGCCATGCCTGTCAGGGCCAAAAGCTAAAAGAGGTTTTATGCATCAAGAGCCTCAGCCCTCTCTGCAGCCTGCACTCCCGGAGCTCAGCAGCCAGGGAGGGGCAGGAGCCTGGAGGTCTGTCCTGTACGAAGGGGAAACTGAGGCTTGAGGAGGTAAGGTACCTTGCTGGGGGGACAGCCTGTCCTCCTCTGTGCAGAGCTTGGCCCTGGCTTGGCCCCCATGGGCCCATGGGAGCAGAACCAGGCAGCGGGGTGGGCACATGGTCCCAGCCTCAGCAGTGCCCCAGGTCCTGCCCTGACAGGGTTGACCCCCGGCCCCTCACCCTCTGGTGAGCTTCCTGTGCTCCCCATGGTCTTGCTCAGAGGCCTCCGCACCTCAGTGCCCACCCAAGATCTGACACACGCCCTCCGCAACCTCAGCCACCGGGGGTTTTGGAGGGGCAATGGGGCAGGATAGACAGGCCCTTGGAAGTGTGATCTGGCAAGCTGAGCCACCCCCGGGGCCCCAGGTGCAGGCCTGGAGACCAGCCCTGGGCAGGCGCCCAAGGAGACAGCAGGCAGAGTCCCCTAGTGACGTCACAGTGAGGGCTCCAGGGCCCCTGGCTCCAGGCTGCACCCCTGTGGACTCCAACCGCTGCTGCTTTCCAACCCACGGGGCCTGCAGGCCCTGCTGTCCAGGAGGGGCCAGAGTGCTCTGGGCACTACCCAGCGCCCCTGCTGCCTGGGGTCCCTGCCCACCACCGACTTCCCCACTTCACCTGGGCCTCCTGCCCTCAGGGCCTCTGAAACCACCACCTTCTGACTCCACCCTCTCCAGGCCCCTCCCAGGCCTCCGTTGCATCACCTCCCAGGTGGCTAGGGCTGGGCCTCAGGGCCCAATCCTGACAAACAGCCCTCAGGTGCTGGAGCCCAGTGCGGAGAAGGCGAGCTATGGCTTCCAGATCCTGGTCCCTGAGGAGGGCCTGCAGAACTGGAACCCCTGGGCCTGGGCCTGGGGACACTGCAGAGCACTGGGACTCTGGGGGCCCTGCACAAGGGCAGTTGCTGTCCCCCGCCCCCTCAGTGGTGCCCCCCTGACTCAGAGCAGAGCCTGGTGGCTGAGAGCAGGGGCGGGGCAGCAGAGCACAGGGACCCAGTGACCACTTCCCTTCCCGTTGCCCCCCTGGCCCAGCCCACACAGGACATAGACATGCCCACAGTCACGGGCACCCAACTCCCCTTCATTCAGCAGGCAGTGAAGGTGCTGGGCTGCCCTTAGATCTTGTCAGGCCAGGGTCACCCATGGGCAAGGGGCAGAAAGAAGACGACTGAGAAAGCACAGGAGGGGCCGGCCCTCCCCCTCCAGGAGCGACACCCTGCACTTCCTGTGCCCCTGGCCTGGGGCTGGGCTGCCTTTCCCAAGCCCAGAGCCTGCTCCAGGGTCCGCCCAGGGGAGGAAGACTGGCTCTGCCCCAGGGACCCAGACCAGGCAAGGCACCGCCCAGCCCTGGGAGAGGGCGGGGCTGAGCAGGAGCCCTGGGGGGGTCCTCTGGGACAGGCACTAGGGTGGAGGTGGATGACAGGCAGGGCCCCCCTTCCTGCTGAGGTGCCCCGAGGCCCAGGACTCAAGCCCCCGTCCCTGTTCTGCCTCCTAGCTGCGTTCAACCCTTTCACTCTGGCTCTGGAACCTGGCGGCTGATCTCCGCTGGCCTCAGATAAGCCTCAGTGGTGTGGACGTGAAAAATGTCCAGACCTGGAGGGAATTTTTATGAGTTTGTTTGAACCAAGCTGACGACAGTTGCTGGGAGGCGAAATCTCAAGGGATTGAGAACACGCCGCAGAGAAAGGCATCTTTGCAGCTCGAGTTCAGAGTCGGAATCAGAGGAGGAGTGAGGAGGGGTCGCATGAAATGCAGGGCTGCCGGTTAAGGGGGCAGGAGAGAACAGAGGGGACTCCTTAGGAATTTTCATGTCCCTGCTGTCAGCATCTGGGTCTGGCAGGCCCCCTGAGGGTTTCCTGTGTGGCCCACATGCAGATTGAGTTAAAGGACGGAGAAAGACTTGTGCCCCTCCCTGAACCACTGGACAGAACAAAAATTAGAGGCCTCACCCAGGAGGGATTATCAGAGATAACTTCTTTGGACCCCTGTGTCTATAAGGCAGAACACGGTTTTATTTAACATTCACTAAATCTCTGCTCCTGTGATCATCTTGCAAAGGCCTTTGCAGGTGTCGCCCCTCCCTAGCCCCGGACCTCCGCTGCCCACGGTCCCTTTCTGGCTGCGGACCTCTCGGCCTGCGGGTCTCGGGCTCCCCTGTTTGTGGGGTTCCCGCACATAGTTAGCTGTTTCCTGTTGCTGATCTGCCTCGGGTCTATCGGATATCAGACCGGCCAGAGGCACCTTGGGGGCAGGGGAAGCGTGTTCCTCCACACGGTTAGGGTGGTCGGCGACGCGGGCTGTGAAGGAATTCACGAAGAGAAGAAAGCGTAGGGGGTCAAGTTCTTGTTGGGAAAGGGCAGGGGTGTGCTCTCGAGAGAGCCCACCAAATATTTGCAACTCGCGCATCTGACACAGGCCTAGTGTCCAAGCTACACCAAGAAGCCTCACAGCTCCACACAGCCACAACAGCACAGGCTGGAAAGTGGGCAGAGGGCCCGAACAGACCCCCCTCCAGACACACATGGCCAGCCTGCCCGAGGACAGGTGCCCAGCATGGCTGGGTGTCAGGGAGGTGCCACCCCACACCCACGAGAACAGGACCTCAGAAAGGTAGACAGCAGGGAGCCTGCGCCCGGCCGGAGCCCAGCGGAGAGCCTTAGACCAGCAAGGCTGCTGTGGAGCCGGGGGGTGGGGTGGTGGAAGTCGGCGGGGGGGGGGGGGGGTGCCGTCGGTCAAACCGAAACTTACACATTAACGTTGGTGGCAGCTCCAATCACACTGGCCAAAGGGCGGAAACAGGCTGAATGTCCATCAGCGAGTATGGCCCGCCTACACAGGGGACTGTCACTGTCTAGACACAATGTCAACGGGCCTGGAGAACATCGGGCACAGGGGGTCACAAGCGGCACCCACAGCCGGTGGCAGTGGCGCATGGGGACAGAATTCGGGCTGGCCGGCTGGCGGTTGGAGGCCTGGGGTGGAAATGGGAGCCACTGCCCATGGGCGTGGGGGCTGCTTCCGGAGGGGACGGTGGGGCTGTGGGGCCAGACAGGTATGGGGGCCGCACGGGAGTGAGGGGGTGTGAGCATATCGCTGCCACTGAACTTCCAAAGGGTTTCCGCACTAAATTTCACCACAGTGCAAAATGGAAACGCTGAGGGGACGGGGCCCTGCGGAGGGAACCAGCGAGTCCCGGGGACCGGCCCCCACCCGGCCAGGGGCTTGGGGTCCGCGGTGCAGAGGAAGTTCCTGGTGGAGACCCCATGCCCTGGGCTGAGCAGAGGGCAGGGTAGGGATCTGGGCACTCAGGCCACGGGGCTGAGTCCCTGCTTCCTCAGTGGACGGTCCCTCCAGGTCTGTGACCTACGAAGAGACCAAGGGGCAATAAAGACAGTGACCAGCATGCAAGCCCAGAGGACAGGGCCACTCCTGCTGGGCACCTGGGGAGCTAGGGGACACCGCGTGCCGACACCCAGGTGGCGTGGCGTGGTGTGGCAGATGTGCCATGGGGCGGTAGCGTGTGATGCGGTGCCGTACCACGTGGTGCCTGTAGTGCCCACAGAGTGGGCTCTGGGCCCAGGCGGCCTGGAGGGTCGTGTCCCTGCCCCTCGGTGTCACTGTCCTGGCTGTGCCCCATGCTCCTGCTCCCACCAGAGAGTGCCACTCTGCTCTAGATGAACACAGGCCCTCCTGGCACCTTCGTACCAGGTGACCTCCAGCCAGCCTCCTGGGGGTGAGAGGGCGGTCCCAGGGCACCCACTGCAGCCCTGGGTCTGCCACTGGGCCGCGGCTCACCCAGAGGCGGGGGCGGGGCGGCGGGGCAGCGGGGCTCGGGAAGGCTGTGCCGACCGCACCCTTCTGTGGCCCCTTAACAGGTACCGGGGGTGTGTGGGGGGCTGGACTGCCCACCCTCCTCCCCCTGCTTGCGCCACAGGTGCAAGCTGTTGACTTGGCAGGTACTGGCAGAGCTGAGCCCTGCAGTGCCCCTCCCCCAGGACAGGGCCCTGGAGACCAGCAGGCCCCCTGGCCCTGAGACCAGCTGTGCCATGCCCCTGGATGAGTTACTGTGACCCCCCCAGCTGTCACCCTGCCAGCCCCTGCTCCATCAGCACTGGGACCTGAAGGCAGCAGGCCTGGGCCCACCCTGGATCCTGGGCCCCAGGGCCCCTCACTGAGCAGGCCCAGGCCTGGACGTGGCGCCTGAGGATGGGAGGCTTGGGAGCAGCAGGGGCCCAGAAGGGGTCTCCAGGGCTTAGACCCCACGGCCTGGTGGGCAGGCACAGCAGCTGACTGGGGACCAGCTCTCCCAGTCTCCTGCTCCCTCCTCTCTCTGGACACCTCTCCGGTCCAGGCCTGTGCGTGCCCCTCCCTGGCCCTCGTCTCGTCTCTCTCTCTCTCTCTCTGGCAATCTGAGTGTCTGCACCACCCTTGCAGGGCTCCCAGCTGGTCCAGGAGGTGCTGGGGCTGCACAGCCAGGCCAGGCTGGGCGGGGGACCGCCGGCTCTGCCGACAGCTGCGGGAAGTGCAGAGAACAATTGTGGCCTCCTTGCCAAGGCGCTGCCCGGCCAGGACAGGAAGTACTGGGGGCTGGGCCGGGTGGGAGTGCTGACTGCCCCTTGGGGCGCCCTAGATGCCCCCACCCCAGGAACCCCTCCAGGAGCTACTGTGAAGGTAGGGGGCAGAGCCTGCCCTGCCCAGCCCCGCCACTCCAGGCTTGGACCCCAGCGTCTGGTCTCAGGGCCTAGCGGGCCAGAGGAGAGGGCCGCCTGGCCAGCCGGGAAGAGCCAGGAGGACCCAGGAGGGGGCCATTCTGATCCTGCTTTCAGCCAAACCGCAGGTGGGGACAGCTCTGTTGCCTCTCCCAGTAGCTCTCCCCCTGGTGAGGGCACGGCATGTTGCCCTAGGTGCTGTGCAGGGTCCCAGCAGAGAGACTAACTTCCTCCAAGAAATCTGAGCGAGGCCTTACACAGCTTTCCTGGGTCCACAGAGATGCCTTGGAGCCTTCAGAGCAGCACTATGAGTGGCTGCTGAGCTGGGGGTGGCGGGAAGGCAGGCCCAGCAGCCATTTTTCTCTGCCCAGGCAGAGAGGAGGAAACGCTATAGGGATGTGGGGGACAGAGCCAAGTGGGAGCCTTCGCAGCCTCAGCAAATGTCTGGATCCAGCTGTGCCTGAACATCTGCACATGGGGGGCTTATCCCCAGAACCGGTCAATTCCTCTTTTCCCATAAGCTGGTTTAAGATTCTGCCACTGGCTGCCCTGACTCATGACTGATTCTCTACACTTCTACTTGCATCCTTCTTCGTTAGGGAGGTTTGTGTTCTCAACAAAGACGTCGCCCTCTTCGAATGATGACGTGGCCACCACAGGGCAGCCCCAGGGTCTGCACAGAGAGCAGATGCAGCCGCCTCCATCAGGAGCCCCAGGAGGAAGGCGGGTGGTGGGCCTCTAGGAAGGGAGGTGGGCTGGGCGGGCCTTTGCTGAGTGGATGGTCTGGCTGAGTGCTGCCCACCTGGGCCAGCTGCCTCCAGGAGGGGCAGGAGGGGCACCTGGGCCTTCCCTAGGGTGTCTGCTCCAGGTCTGGGGTGTGGAGACACGCCTCCAAAATGCAGGTGCCCACCCCTGTGTGTACTCGCCCTACGCCTCTAACTTGAGGCTTTCCGATTCCCCACTGGCCGGTCATGACCAAGGCAGGCGAACAGAAGGTGAAGGGCTCAGAGGTCAGGTCAGCAGAAGCTCGGCTGTGGGTTTGGAGGACAAGGAAGCAGCCACACTCTTCCGGGAGAGAGGCTGCCTCCGCTGCACAGGGGGAGGGGCTCAGGGGTCCTTCAGGGAGTGCTGGCAGCCAGGGCGATGGCCAGCACCCTCCCCAAAGCTGACCAGCTGGTCTGCCTTCTCCGAGCTGCTGCAGCAGCCTCTCGGCCCCAAGGCCAATGACCTCGCTGGCCACGCCCACCGCCTCGGGGCCTTGACCCTTCTCCTGGCTCTGAGGCCTCCAGCCCATCTGCTGGCTCCCTTGCTGCCGACCATGCCATGGGCTCTGCTCAAACGTCGCTGTCCCACTGGTCAGCCCACCTAAGCTGCGCAGGGCTCTCCGGTGCTGCCCCCCGCAGACCCGCCCACATCCAGGCCAGGCGCACCCCTGGCGCTCGGCGCCTACCCAGAGAAGGGATGAGGAGCCTCCTCAATCTCCTAACCCCGTTAGTCACCCGGCCCGCGTCTGGACGCCCGAGGGAACTAATTAACGCTTCTTCTAGATTACCTACATTTGCTCCCGCTGCCTCCCTTCCTCCTCCCGTCCTCGGTCTTCTGGGGCGGGGAGGCGGGGCCAGGCTGCAGTCTCAGTTACGGGAAGCCAGGGCAGGCTGGTCACGTGACGAGAAGCTCCGCGGGCCCGGGACCGACCCTGCGGGAGCGCCCCCAAGGCTCTGAGACCCTTAGAAGCCGGGCTTGGAGCGGGGCCCAAGTGGGCGCCGGCCCTGCTCCTGCGCACAGATCGTCTGCCTGATTTGCATTTAATAAGACCTAGCTCTCCACCAGACCAGTTCCTGCTCAAGAACAGATGGGGCGTGGGGGGAGGGGGCATCTAAATTATGCACTTGCGCCCCCTCCGGTTTTTAGTGAAGGTCTGGCACTCAGTCAAGCCTTTGGCTGCCTCCTTCGCCCATGGGAAGTGGGTCAGGGTCTGGCTGGCTGGCTACAGCTGTGGCCTCGGGACCCCAGCACGATCTCTAAGCCGCTTGTTTCCAGAGTGGGAGACTGTGGCTGGAAAATCAGACGCCTGGGTTCCTGGCTGGCTGGGCCAGAGCTCCGCACGGATCCACTGTGGGCTGATTAGCGCCCCAGGGAGGTGGTGCCCGGGCAGCAGCTGAGAGACAAAAACTGCAGGGGATCTGGGCAGGGGACTTGGAAGCAGGAGCAGAAAGCTCCCTACAACGTCTTTCAGATCCTTGAAGTCCAAAGGGCCCCAGCTGGAAGCTGGAGGCTCCTGAGAACCAACCAAGCCCCAGGGCACATGTCCCCAAAGCCAGAGGGCCCTGCTGCCTGGGAGCTGGTCGGGGAGGGGCAGGGGATGCCTGGGACTCTTCCGTGCCAGCCAGGGGAAGATAAAGCCCCAGGCTACACAGGGGGCCCGGGAATAAGGGCCTGGGCCCCTGCTCCTTCCCTCCTGTCTTCCCTCAAACTTTGCTCCTCACACCCCATCTATAAATACATAAAGGAGAATTTCAGGTCGGGGCCACAGGGCAAGTTCCAACTCAGGCCCTGCCACACCCTGCAGACCTACAGATTAGCTGGGGAGCCAGGGCTGCCCCCGAAATCCTAGGTCAACTGTGGTGGGCAGTGGCCCAGCGTCCCTGCCCCGCAGCCCTGGCACCCCTGGTGATGAGTCTGACTGGGGTCATGGTGGGGGCAGGGGTGCCCTGGACTGCTCCTGCAGCCTCAGGCCTGCAGCGTGGTGCCTGCCAAGGCCTCCGGAGGTTGAGGGTTCTGAGGTGCCCCCATGCCTGTGGACACCCCCACAGCAGCAGCGACCACTGCCCCCATGTCCCCCCTTCTCCTGCTCTGCCGCTAGGTCTGCCCCTCCTTTCCCATCCCTTTCCTTTCTTAGGAACCTGGGGGAGGGGGGCAGAGGGCAGAGAGAAGAGCCGAGGTGCAGAGGACAGAGGGACCTGCAGGTAGGGGAGGAGCGATGGCACCGCTGGTGGTTTGAAGCAGAGGAGCTAATCAGCTGATGCAAATGAATCTCCCTGCTGCTGGGTTGGGGGCCCAGGGCAGCTCAGCGGAGGCCAGAGTCCCTGTGGGGTGAGGGGTGGGGCGTCGCCCATTACGGGAGGTTGGTCACCTGGGTGCAGGTTGTGTGTGCACCTGCCTGCACAGGTTCCCTAGCTCTGTCCCCCCGCAGGACGGTGGGCAATGACACTGCAGCTGCGGTAAGCACACCCGGAGCCTGGAGTCTGGCTCCTAAATACCATTTAGGAACCGGATGAGGTCAGGGTTGGGGCAGGGTGGGCCTGAGGGGAGCCTGGAGCACCTGTGCCAAGAGTTGAGGAAGGGCTGCAAGAACGATGAGATGTGTCGCTGTGCGGAAAGAAAGGGCCAGTGACCGGGAACAGCCCTGGGGGGGGGGGTAACAGGGTCCTTGAGGTTGTGGCCTGTGTTAGGGGTCAGCTGGGTGGCTGACAAGTTCTCCAGTTCCCTGGAGTCGGGCGGGAGGGCGGGGCAGGGGGGCTGGGGCGGTGAGAGGCGCGGGTTGGGTTGGGGCGGGGCGGGGCGGCGGGCCCCGCGGCGAAGGGGTGGAGGGCGGGGTGGCGTCGGAACCCGGAGGCAGAGGTGAGCAGGCACGACGGGCAGTGGCGAGGGAGGCCCATCTGACCCACCCCAGCTTCTCCCCTTTTCCCGCCGGGGGTCTTCCATCTCCAGCGGCTCCGCTGACGTTTCAGCAGCACCTGCGGGGCGGACCATCTCTGCTCCCGACGCACTTTCCCGTGGTCTCACCTCCCGCCCAGGCGGACACCCCCCACAGGACCACTGCCCGAGCCTCAAACCCCAGGAGCCTCACGGGCTCCTCGGAGCGCCGGCCCTAGCCACCGCGGCGGGGCGTCCGGGAGGCCGACCTCGTTCCGATCGGGCCCCGCTGGGCCACCGCCTTAGACGGAGGAACCGGCCAGCTCCCTGGAACCCACAGGCCTGAGGGTCAGTCCCAGCTTGGCGTAGGCGGGGTGCCGGGTGCGGGGTGCGGTCAGCCGGGCCGGAAACCGGGCCGGTCGGCAGCGAGAAGAAACCGGCCCCTTGGGGCGCACGGATCGCGGCGCCAGGCAAGATAGGCCTGAGGTGCCCCCGGGGCCGGTCCCCGAGGACGCGGCGCCTTTAATTGGCTTTCACGCGCGGAACCGGGGCGACGAGGAAGCGCGCGTGCGTGCGTGCGCGCGCGCGCCGGAGTCGGGGCCGGGCGGTGCGTGCGCGCGGCGTGCGCGGTGACGCGGCCGTGGGGTTTCCCGAGGCTGCAGACAGGGGCCGCCGCGCCCATCGATGGCTGGAGGCGTCTGAGGGCGGACGGAGGCGGCGGGCGCGGGTGCGGAGTGGAGCAGCCGCCGCGGGACCGGACAGAGCCTCGCCTCGCACCTGCCGCAGCGCCCGCGGAGCGGCCCGAGCGCGACCACCTCCGGGAGCGGCGGCCGAGGCGGCCAAGGTGGTGGGGTGCGGGAGCGGCAGGCAGGACGAGCGCCGAGGTGAGCCCGGTGGCCTCGATCCTGCCCGGCCTCGCGGCCCGGGCCGTGCTAACCCTACCCGGGGGGACCCCCAGCATGTCTCCCCGCCTCCCCGCAGTCGCCCGCCCGGGCCGCCCCGCCCCCACCCACTGCGGGGCCGTGGCTTCCTGCCCCGCCTGGGTGGGGTGTGCGGGGCTGAGGCGGGTGGGGACCCTGCGGGCGTGGGCCGGGGTCGGGGCGGAGGTTCGCGGCTCTGTGTCCCAGGTTCGGAGCCGGGGTTTGGGGTCCTGGTCTGGGTAGCTGGGTTTGCGGCTCGAGTTCTAGGGTTCTGGGCTTTTAGGTCAGGGTCTGCTATCAGGGTCCTGGGTTGGGGGTTCCTATTGGTGTCTGGGGTCTTGGTTGGGGTTCGGGGACCTGGGCTCGAGGTCTAGGGTCCCAAGCTCTGGGTCGGTGTGCGGGCCCTGGTCCGGCCTGGCCTCCCTGGGTTGTGCGCTGGGCCGGGGTCTGCGGCCGGGCCCCTCCCGCGCGCCCGGCCGTCGGCCGGGCTTTGAGAACAAAGGCGGCACGGCTACTGCAGTGGGTGTGGGTGCCCGTCCTTTGCTCGGAAGGACGTCGTTTTAGGTGCCCCTTTTTTGGCGTTTCTGAAGTTCGGGTTTAGGAACCACACGATGTTGGGGGGGGGGGCGATGAAATGAGGAAGCGGGGCCAGGCCGGTGCAGCCGACGGGGGACGTTCCGGGGGACCTAAAGCAGAAGCGAAGCGCTGTGCTGGGAAGCCTAGAACAATAGCGACTCTCAGCTGTCTTCGTTTTTACCGGGAAGTGTGCGGCGGCCCCATGGCCAGCCTTTTCTCGTTGTTTTCTCTCGCGCGCGGCGCGGGGCCTGCGTGCGGGGTGGGTGGGCGGGAGGGGGGCGCGAGGTGGGCAGGAGGAGGGCGGGGAGGGACCGGGAGGCCCGCGGGGGCAGGGCTGGGCCGGGGTCCCCGAGCCTCGATGAATGGCCAGGAGCCCAGGCCCCGCGACAAGATGGCGCGGCTGCCGCCGCCTTTGTCGGCGCCGCGCGCTCCCGGACCCGCGACTGCTGCGCTGGGCCTGGGGCTCTTAGGGCGTGACTCCCAGCGACCTGGGGGAGGGACCACCCGAGGGCCGGGCGTCCTCCTGATTCCTGAGCGGGCTCCTCGGGGACCGCGGCTGCGGTGGGGGAGGGGCCGCGGTGACAATTCGGTCGGGTGGAGGCCCAGCCTTCGGCCCTGAAAATTCTCCGTTTTTGCTTGCAAATTGATGGTTGATTCAAAAGGTGTTCACAGTTTGTGTCCTTTAAACCACACGGTTAGCTCGCAAAGGACGCGGATTTGTCTGCTCAGGGCCTCTTCGTGAAAGCTTTTCCCAACCGTGAGGATGGGGATTGGTGCACCGAGGGCCACGATGAGTGGCTTGTGTGTTGTGCGTGTTTTCGTGGGGAAGGGAGCTGGGCATTTAGGAGCCTCAGTCCGTGCTTTGGTTTGGGGCAGTGTGGTGGTTTTCTGTGTCTTTGATTTCGCTATCTGATAACTGACCTCAAACATTTGATCGTTAAGAGCCCCACATGAGACTTATTATTAAGGAAATATGCAGGCTATTTTTCTTGACTAGCAAACAAGTCAATGGAAGCATAAGCTTTGCGAGGAGTTCTAGGCACTGGGTAGGTCTGCAGAGCATTGTCGTCTGCGAGGTTTCTACAAGACTTCTTTGTTTCCTGATTTGAAGCTGTAGTCTTTTTTTGAGGGGTGTGGAGGGTTTTTTTAATCTGAAATTAAGGTTTTAGTTTGAGTTGTAGTAAGACAGGATCTGTTCTGGATTATTCCGGAAGGTGCATATTGCAAAAAAAAAAAAAAAAAAAGCAAAAAGGCAGTTCCTTTTTTGCTTCTTGACCCGAACTGGGTCTGTGGCTGGGACTGAGTTGGTGCCACCAACAAGGAGATGGGTGCCACACCTCCGGGGGGCGGGGCTGGGGTGGCCCTCGGCTTCCTTTCACTGTGGATCAAATGAGCATCCAGAAGTGGGTGAAGCTGGAGAGTGATCCTGCCAGGCCCTGGTGGGGTGGGGGGGCACTTCCTGAGGCCTCTCCTTCCTGACACTCCCTTTGTGAGGGGGTGAGGGTGCAGGAAGGCAAGTGAGTTTGGTGGGGGGGCTGGGGCTCCCCTGCAGCTTTCCCTGCCCGGCTGTCGGCCCCACCCTGCTGGGCCAGTCAGAGAGTAGGGTACCACCCAGAAGGTCCAGTCCTCAGTTTTGACTCAGGGTTGACACCTCCTGTGTGAGCACACCCACCAGGAGGGACCTGGACTCTGCCCCATCCGCCTGGGCGAGGGCTGGCAGCTGCCCCGCCCCAGGCAGAATGCCCCGAGGCCGTTCCTTGGTAAAGGTTTCTCTTTGGTGTCTTGAATTACTTCTGATTTTCTGGGGAGTTGGAAACAGTTTTCCTCAGATTGAATCGGTCTCAGAAGCGATTCAAAAGGAAGCCGAAATCTGCAGAGTAAACACACTGTCTCCTTTTAAATAGGAAGCCCCTCACAGTGAGGTCTTTGCTGTGAAGTGGCCACTTCTGTTTGTCTCTGATTCTGTGGTTTGACTGGAGAAGGTTCGTTTCTTTAAGTGTCTTCTGAGGAGGTGGCCAGGGTGCCCGTAGACCTGTCTGCCGCCCTCAGTCAACTTGAATGAACAGCACCGACTTTATTTTAGATGCGCAGCATAGGCATTTATCATAGTTTTCTCATCGGATTTTTTTCTCTGCCCAAAAGGTTTGGCTTGTGTTGGTCCCTAAATCGGATTAAATTCTTAACGTGTCCAGACTTCGGCTTTCACGAGTGGGTAGGCTGGTAATGGGCAGGCTCAATTTCATGATCCAAGCCTGACCACATGGCACCGAATTCCTCTGGAGCCGCTACTTAGTGTCAGTCTGGCAAGGCGTCAGAGGTAGGTTTCAGGGGTTTTTTAGACTCTGGGGTAAAATCTGGTTTTAGGTGTGTGCAAGGTGGCCAGAGTGTTGGAGGAATGAAGACTGGACAGTTCGGGTGGGTGTGGGGTTACGTGAATGCAGGGTGGAGGCGAAACAGACCAGAGGGGCGCTGGGGTCGGAGAGGGGACAGGCAGGAGGGGACAGGCAGCACGGAACGCGGAGCGGCGCTGGGAGGGAGAGGCAGTCCAGACACTGGCCGCACCCGGGGAAGTGCCGAGTGACCACACAGCACACTGGTGGTCCTGCAGGAGGGATGGGGCACCACTTCTCTCCCCTGTCTTTTTGTTGAACGTCTGTGTTGGGGTGACGTTGGCCAATACGATTCCACAGGTTTCAGGGGTCCAGTTCTGTGACATGTCACCTGTGCTTGCAGTGTGTGTGCCCCCCCACCCCTTCTGTCGACAGCCATGAGCTGGGTCCCCCTGTGGGTGCGTGGGGGGCTCAGGGCTGGCGGGGTGACTGCTGCCCACTCACAGAGCAGCGTGTTTCCTAAAGATCTGAGCAAGCGCTTCCTACTGACTCTGTAAGTTCCAGTTCTGGCGAAAAGCCGCTTCTGCAAACCTAACGGCAGAAAAGATCAGGCCGAGGTCACCAGAGGTAATTCTGAAGCCAGTGCGCAGTGAAGCCTTTGTCGCCCCTGGCAGCACGGAGCTGAGGGTCAGCAGCCAGCACGGCGGCCGCGGGGCCAAGGCTTGCGCTCGGCCGGGGGCACTGCGCTGTGGCGCTGTCCGCCTGTGGGTGGCTGTGTGTGTGCGTCTCTCTGTGGCTCCAGCTCAGCCCTGCAGCAGCCAGTTCCCTCAAGGACTGTCACGGCCCCCACAGTGGTCTCCTGAAATCATTGTCATGGAACTTCAGCGATTCCGGGGTTCTAGGAGGGAGAGAAGTCTCGAGTTTCTGCAAGGACCTAGACTGCCCCGGGGTGGGGCCTGGGTCTCTGGCCTGCCTTGCAGGTTTGGGGGTGGGTGTGGCTGGTGCGTCCGCCCCTCCTCTGTCGCCCCTCCTTGCCGGGGGTCACCGGCCTTGCTCTCACTGTGAGCCAGTCAGCCAGCATTGCAGGGCGGGCTTCCTGAGGGGCTTCTTCCCTGCTTCCTGGGAGAGGGCGTGGCTCCAGGGCGTGGGCGCACCTTGCGGCAGCCCACGGCCGACCTCACTTTCTCCCTGGTGAGATACAATTCCTTGCTCGCATCTGTCCTTGAAAGGCTCTCATACTTTTCTAGCGTACTGTTCCTCCTCAAGTTAATTTTGAAAACCGGCGAAATTACTTCCTTTTTAGAGATTTCATCTCACCCTTTATGATGGTGGATATATTTTTATTTCACAAAACTTTTGGTATCTTTTCTTTCCTTTTTAAACCACCCAAGTCAAATCTCCTCCATCACCGTTCACCCCCCTTTACCTTCCGCCTCCCCTCACCCCCTTTTCCTCTGGCCGTCACCTTGCTGTGAGCTTTTGTTCTTGGTGTAACCCCTTCACCTGTCCCCCCAGCCACCTG